GAGAGGGGGGAGAGAGAGAGAGAGAGAGAGAGAGAGAGAGAGAGAGAGAGAGAGAGAGAGAGAGGAGACGAGAAGAGCGCGCAGCAGGTCCCCACCAAATACTAGCCCTGCTAGTCTGCTGGTGTCATGTTAGCCTTTGAGCCTAATTTATAGTATGTTGTTTTAGCAGCCCAAATATAGTAGACAGACCTAAATGAATTGCTTTTAAAATTATTTTGGGGGATGGAAGATTTTTCCAGCTAGGTGTGGTAGCTCCTGTTTTTAGCTCCAGCACTCAGGAGGGTAAGGCAGGACTCCTGAGTCTGACACCAGACTGGACTATACATACTGAGTTTCTGGCTAGCTTAACTAACAGTGAGACTTTGTTTCAAAAAACAAAACAGCAAAAACAGATTTGTTTATTTACAAGATTTCAAAGATGAAACTTTAACCATCATCCTTTAAATTAACTGTGAGTATGAAACACACAGACTTTACTGACTAGCTGGGTGCTGGATGTATAGCTTTAATGCCAGCACTCAGGAGACAGAAGCACTCTGATCTCTGGTTGAGGCCAAATTAGTCTACAGAGCTAGTTCCAGGACAGTCAGGGATACACAAAGAAATCCTGTCTCAAATAACAAAATAAATAAAGTACTTACTAAACTGTAGATAGATTCTCAAGTGGTCCTAAAAGTCTGCAGTTGTGAGAGTTGTGCAGCTCTCAGTGCCAGTGCCCTGCATCTGTCCACACACAGTGGCTACAAACTTCTTTGGGAACATCTGTATTTCCAAACCTCTGGTGGTCTCAGTTTTGCCTGTACAATACAATCATCTGACCCTAATCTCTGCAGATTGCTAGCCTGAAGAACCTGAGAGGTAGGTCACTTCCTGACAGTTACCCAGGTGACCTACCTACGGCTGTTATGTACAACTGCAATGACACCTTTTTGTTGTTTGTTTTCTGAGACAGAGTCTTATTGTACAGCCCTGCCTGTTCAGAAACTTCATGTGCCAATTTGGCAAAGCGCAGAGATCCACCTGCCTCAGACTCCTAGGCTGGGATTAAAGATGTGCCCACTGTGTACAGCTAAAGACATTACTTTAAGGAAAAAGCACAGACTACACTGATAACTAAACCACTATAAAGACGTGGTCAGTAACTATCTAGTTAAAGCACTCATGTTGTTTTACACAAAGCAGTGTCTAAAAATATTCAGTCGTCTTGACTAGTACTTGCTCAAAAATAAGCAATGACAAAACTAAACACACAAAACATTCAGTGTGGGCTCTAAACTCTTAAAACTCCGTAGACCCAAAGGTCAAATGATGAAACTTCAAATATAACCTAGGGATTATGTATTCTGTGAAATACATATAATTTAAAATTAAACATTAAACATGAGGCAACATCGTAATGCTATTATTAGAGCCAGTTAGAGGATTTAGTGAATCAAGACACTTGTTGCCGGGCAGTGGTGGCACACGCCTTTAATCCCAGCACTTGGGAGGCAGAGGCAGGCGGATTTCTGAGTTCGAGGCCAGCCTGATCTACAGAGTTCCAGGACAGCCAGGACTACACAGAGAAACCTTGTCTCGAAAAACCAAAAAAAACAAACAAACAAAAAAACCCCAAAAAACAAAAAAAACCATGAATCCTGTAGTATCTGTTACTCATTTTCAACCTTCCCCCCAAAAATTGTAATTATAAAATCTAATTCTAAAATTAGATAATACAAATGTAATTACATAATCTAAAAAGTAAAGTATTTTAATGCTGAAATTCATATTCCTGAAATATGAGCTACCAAAACTACTAAGAGGCTGACCACTACCACAGCACTTTACTGAAAGCCCCGGGAGAGATTCCACTTGATCTGACCACAGCCATCTTCTGACAGAGGAGTCATAGCTGCTCCTGGGTAGCTCAGATCTGAGTTTCTCAGCATACCATAAATGGACAAACAGCTAGAGCAGTACATGGAACGTTAAGATCTTCATCCGGTGTCCTAAGTACCAGGAATGTGCCTGACATCCTTGATACTAGCTTAAGAGGACCAGGTGCATTTGGTTTGGAAGAAGCTGGGCTTGTTCTGACTTTGTTTTTTTGTTTTTTGTTTTTTTTTTTTTTTTTGGTTTTTCGAGAC